GGAGAACCGCCTGAGTGGCAGAGCCAGGCAGCTGATGTAATTGTGGCCTAGTCCTCTTAAAAACCAAATGGGATTCTTGACAGGAAATCATATTATACTTTGAATGTTAAATGTGATGATTGGGCAAAAGAGCAACACAGGTGGATATTTTCATTGGATGTTAACAATTGATGAATCATAAGGAATGGAATCATAAAGGAATGGAAATCATAAGGAATGGAAAGAAGCAAGTGAGGACTCCACCACCATCTGTGTTCTAAGTCTGCAGCCAAGGAAAAACCATGTCATCATTGTAATTACAGGCGCAAGCTTAGCTGGACAAGACAGAAGATAGGAAAGTCTTTTCTTCTTTCCCTCTTCACTACCCTGCTAGCCACTCAGTTCCTGCCTGGCTGCTCCCCAGAGATCATACAGAAGAGAGAAAGACAAGATAAGGAGGCTGGATCACTGAAGGGACCACCTGCAGAAGAAAATCAAGTGATAGTAAAGAGATTCTAAAACGGGAAACAAGTGGTAACAAAGCCCAACAGGAAAAAGAATATTCCAATCAGCTTTCCACTGCCAGGAGCATCACGTAGGGGAACACACAGAGAGGAAGGAGGGTCACACTTTAATCCTACAGTTTCCTAGTTATGCGATCCTGGGCAAACTTTGTAATTCTTCTGAGCTTGAGTCTCCTCATTTGTTAAGTGGTAAGAGTTCCCACTCTACTTATCTCCTAAGTGATCAAATTATATTGTGTATATGAAAATATTCTATAAGATTCAAAGTACCAAATAAATACTTAGTTGTTTATTTATAAATAAATAGTTGTTTATTTTCTCTCTCCCATATGGGGAAGAAAGGATTTAGGGTGGGGAAAAAATCTCTGAGTTGCATAATGGATAAAAGGGATATGACTGGACGCAGTGGCTCGTGCCTGTAATCCTAGCACTCTGAGACGCTGAGGTGGGTGGATTGCCTGAGCTCACGGGTTGGAGACCAGCAAGAGCGAGACCTCAACTCTAAAAGTAGACAGGCATTGTGGCAGGCACCTGTAGCCCCAGCTACTTGGGAGGCTGAGGCAAGAGAATCACTTAAGCCCAAGAGTTGGAGGTTGCAGTAAGCTGTGACGCCATGGCACTCTACCATGGACAACATAGTGAGACTCTATCTCAAAAAAAAAAATAAAAAATTAAAATAAATTTAAAAAGGGATAGAGTATGAGTATGGAAATAATTTTAATGACCATCTTTGTGGCTGGAAAATACTCTGCCTTCCAACCAATGAAATAAACCTACTGAGTGGGGACTTGGAAAGCTGTGATTTGAACTGTTGTGCTAAACTATTTCTATAGAAATGTGAGAGCTCATTTTCTAACTAAAAGCGTTCCAGTAACTCTCAGCTCTATGAGAGGAATAATAACAACTCGCATTTGTTGAGCACTTTTATTTAGGGGCTGTACAAATCACTGTACATTATTTATGTATTTAATTATCACAACCACCCTATAACAATATATTCTTATCTTCTGTTTGACAATAAAGAAACAAATACACAGAGAAGTTAAGTAACATTTCTAAGGTCACACAGCTAGCAAACGCACAGTGGAGTTTGGCTGTGATCTCACTTGGTCTAGCTTCAGAGCCACTATACTCCCTTCTAGGCTATTACCAAAGGTCAACAAACTGGATATAGGAACAGAGTTCAGGGGAGACAAATCAATCTGACCCAGTTACTATCTAACAGGATTTTCCTGTTTGTATTAATTTGTTAAAACTAGGATTACTCATTTCTATGCTTTTGTGTGTAGCTCCTAGCCAAAAATTCTTTTGAAAATTTCAATTTTGTCCACCGGCTGCTCGGAAAAGCCAGGTTTGCTTTATTCCTGGGTCAGGCTTCCTTCTAATCCCAGCCACCTCCACTCCACTCCTCCTCGCATGACAAGGAGTCTGAAGGCCTTATCACCAAAGTCCCCAAACTCTCACTTTTCCTTCCCCTGCATCTAGACCTGTGGGCTTTGGCCTGCCCTTACACAAAGTCCATCTGGGGAAAAAGCATAAAGAAGACTAGTGTCCCTGATTCAACCCCAGATAGGCCATTGCCACCAGGGGCCTCAATATAACCCCCATCCCATTTACCCTCTGCTCAACATTCACATGGTAAAAATAGCACCAGGGCTTTGGCTGTTTACTCTGCCTTCTCTGCTATGTCCTTCTTCTTGCTCTGTTCTCCATCTTTCGGGTCATTTACCTCCCACAAACACAAGTTGTAAATGGAAGACTCTTTTCCCCTTTAAGAGGGACCTAACAGGGTGGCACCTGTGGCTCAGTAGGTAAGGCGCTGGCCCCACATACCGAGGGTGGCAGATTCAAACCCAGCCCCAGCCAAACTGCAACAAAAAAATAGCCAGGCGTTATGGTGGGCGCCTGTAGTCCCAGCTACTTGGGAGGCTGAGGCAAGAGAATCTCCTAAGCCCAGGAATTGGAGGTTGCTGTGAGCTGTGTGACGCCATGGCACTCTACCAAGGGTGATAAAGTGAGACTCCTTCTCTAAAAAAAAAAAAAAAAAAAAAAAAGAGGGATCTAACAAGGATAGTAGCCTCTGAACTAGGGGTCCTCAAACTTTTTAAATAGGGGGCCAGTTCACTGTCCCTCAGACCGTTGGAGGGCTGGACTGTGGGCCCCGGGACGAGTCAGCTGCTAAGCAGGATAGGCAGTGGTGGCAAAAACACCTAGTGGGCTGGATAAATGTACTAGGTGGGCTGCATGTGGCCTGCAGGATGTAGTTTGAGGATGCCTGTGACAGTCATACCTAACGCTTAACATAACTTTTACAGTAGAAATTTCAGGACAGGTAGATATTCTGGTACATCTCAAATCATAGGAGGAAGGTATTTTCTCAGTTCTTGCCTTCTGAGAAGGCTGTACCCTCCCTCCCCAGAACTAGAATGCAGGCTTCCTAGTTCATAATCCAATCATCTTCCCTCCTGTCTTACTGACTCTCTTACATCAGAGTGAAGCTTAGTTCTGAGCCAGTTTGATATTTACTTGTGTTAAAACACAAAATTTTTTAAAAATCAAAATCTCTAATCGTGTTATCTAAACTCAATAACCACTCTTGATGTTTATAGCTGAGTGTCAAATACTTTGAATGCCATTTTGAACTTTTTTTTTTTTTTTTTTTTGAGACAGAGTCTCACTTTGTCACCCTTGGTTAAGTACCTTAGAGTCATAGCTCATAGCAACCTCAAACTCTTGGGCTCAAGCGATCCTCTTGCCTCAGCCTTCCAAGTAGCTGGAACTACAGAGGCCCACCCACCATGGTACCATGCTATTTTTAGAGATGAAGTCTGGCATTTGCTCAGGCTGGTCTGGAACGTCTGAGTTCAGGAAATCCACCCACCTCAGCCTCTCAACGTGCTAGGATTACAGGCATGAGCCACTGCAACAGGCCTAGCATTTTGTTTGTTATTGTTGTTGTTGTCTTTTTAGAGAGTCCTATTAGTCGCCCTTGGTAGAGTGCTGTGGTAGCATACCTCACAGCAACCTCAAACTCTTGGGCTCAAGTGATCTTCTTGCCTTAGCCTCCTGAGTAGCTGGGACTACAGGCGTGAGCCACTGCACCCAGCTAGCATTTTGAACTTTAAACAATGTCTGTAAATATTAGTATTAAAAATGCCTTGACATCACAAAACTAGTGACTACAATTATAACATCAGACATCCCAAACCTAAGACTGGAATATTATTTATATAAAATATAAATATATTTATATAAAATGTATACAGGGTGGCCATAAAGTTCGTGGGTGATTTCAAAAATTACACACAAACTTCATGGCCATGCTGTATATATAAATCCATATGTATGTATGTATATTTGGCACATCTCAAATCATAAGAGGAAGCTACTTTATATATAACTTATATATATATTCCTATTTTATGTATATAAAATACTGTGATCTTTGTAAAACCAACAAGATTCAGGATCTGAAGTCTAAGTCACTAAAGAGATTGCATCAAAATCCACCCTTTGGTTGGTCCCCTCAGAGAAGAAGTTGACGAGGATCACAGACATGTCTCCTTGCTGTGATCCAGCGCAACAAACAGCGGCTGGGCTCTGGGATGTACCTTTCTGGCCTAATGTTCAAGTATTGCCAGTGAAATTTAACTGAATCCTGCCTTTCGCTCTATCACTGAGATACATTGTTTTTCACCACGGTACAGTATTCTCATATCTAAAATGAAATCAAAAATAAGAGGAAAACATTTAACCAAGCCTCTGTGATTATGCCGCAATTCTGTCAATATTCTGAACGCTTCCCACCATTATTTGCACCCTTACTATTTTATAATTATCATGTTTTGGTATAACTGAGATCATAATCTACACCTAAAAGATCAAAAGATCTTCTTCCAGTCTTAGCTAACATACATTTTAGTCAAATTTTGTTCTGGGGAAACCTTTAGAAAATGCAGTCCCCATGCTTTGCTCTCTAAATCCCGTAGCAACACATCAGGCAGATAACCAGTCACTTAGCTTCAAATATCTGTTCTACCTACATTATATGCAAAAAAAGAAAGAAAGAAAGAAATCTACATAATATCTACTGTGTAAATTCAAACTTCACTACTGAAGTCTCATTCTTTCTATTGTCAGTTGAATTATCTGTCAAATCTCCAAGCAAGCAAGCGTCCTATCAAGGTGGCTAAGAAGTTTTACATTCACTTGTTGGGGCCTTTGATCCAGGTCTCTAATTGGAAGATAAATGTTTAAGATTATCCAAGCTCCAAAGATTATTCTGGTGTACAGATCAAGGGACGTTTAACACATGACAGAAAATGCAGAAAGAGAGAACTGTCCTTGGGCCTTTAGCATTACTGGTTGACATCTGGGTTGAAAGATTATACTACTGTGCCTACTTTTTTCCCTTTACTTTTAAATTAAAAGTACCTGAAATTGAAATTTTAAATTGGACCAATGGATTTACAATTCAAATGATTTGTCTTTTGACAGAGTTTTCACTGCAATTGCATATGGGGCTATGGCCATGGGAGAGACACTTGTTCTGGCACCTGAATATTCCAAAGCCAAATCTGGGGCTGCACATCTTTTTGCTTTGTTGGAAGAAAGACCAACCATAGGCAGCGACAGTCAAGAAGGGAAGAAACCAGTAAGCACAACTATGACTTTAAATGTCCACTTACGTAAAGGCATTATTTGGAAAACATGGCAAAAGATAGCGCTATAGTAACAAAGAGGTAAACAACTTGTATAAAATAAATTTTATGGCTACAAAGAGGGAAAGGAGGTCTTGTCTGAATTAAATGTTCACCTCCATTACAAAACTATGCATTTTTATATTAAAAAATGAGTTTTGTTGTTTCAGTATTGCCATGAGAATGCTCTCAAAGTATTTATTTCTATATTGCATTTTATTTGGACAGCCGAAGTTTTAATCTTGTATAATGATTTGCATTATGTTTTTTTTTCTGATATTCTACACAAAGTAAACAATGTCCTATTGCTTCAGAAGTAATTTTTCATGGGAAAATATATCTACACACATAAAACGGGGAAAGGGAAAACCGAATTTACTAAGTTGATAGACACATGAGAGAAATTTAGCTACCAATTATAAAATACAATGCTTATTAGAAGGGAGATAATAAAGAGATTGTATGATTTCAAAATATATCTCTTAATAATACTCTTAAACATTAAATATATATTCAATTTTAAGACCTTTCTAGGCTCGGCACCTGTGGCTCAAGTGGCTAAGGTGCCAGCCACATACACCTAAGGTGGCGGGTTCAAATCTAGCCCAGGCCACCAAACAACAATGATGGCTGCAACCAAAAAATAGCTGGGCATTGTGGCAGCCACCTGTGGTCCCAGCTACTTGGGAGGCTGAGGCAAGAGACTACTTGAGCCCAGGAGTTGGAGGTTGCTGTGAGCTGTGATGCCAGGGCACTCTACCCAGGGGGGATAGCTTGAGGCTCTGTCTCAAAAAAAAAAAAAAAAAGACCTTTCTAAATATTTAAAATTTTAAAATAAGAATATCCATTAGATAAATACTCAAAATAATTTTTTATGTAAAATTGATTCCCCTCTAGAACTTTATAGATTTATACATATGACAGGTTAAAATAATACAGCATGACTAGAGCTACCTACCTATTCAGAGGAATGCCTATTGTCAGTGACAGAAATAAGAAGATCTTAAAATTCCCAAAATAGGACGCTCAAAGATACATCATGGTGAAAATAAGATTTCTTACTTGTTTTTTAAAAAGTAAAGGATATAAGAAGTTATTTTTAAAAAATAATCTTAGAATTTATATGTGTAATAGTATTGCTACAAGAGAAGAATTGAGTATCTCCTGATCCCTATTCTTATACAACTATACGCATGGTAGAAACTATGGAAGTATTTCTTATAAAAACTATAAAATTAAATTATTTAACATTCATTTTATTTAATATTCAAATAGTTCTAAATGTCATTCCTTATGCCTTTAAAAATTAAAACCTAGGCTCTGCACCTGTGGCTCAAGCAGCTAGGGCGCCAGCCACATATACCTGAGCTGGAGGGTTTGAATCCAGCCTGGGCCCACCAAATAACAATGACGGCTGCAAACAAAAAATAGCCGGGCATTGTTGCAGGCACCTATAGTCCAAGCTACTAGGGAGGCTGAGGCAGGAGAATCACTTGAGCTCAAGAGTTAGAGGTTGCTGTGAGCTGTGATGCCACAGCACTCTACCAAGGGCAATAGCTTGAGGCTCTGTCTCAAAAAAAAAATTAAAATCTAGCCAAGCAAAATTGGCAAATATTATAAGGATGGCTGTTGGGTAAGAGGCATATTTCTCTCTCTCTTTTTTTTACATGTTTGGAATTTTCTATAATAAACAAATCAAAAATAGTAAGAATAAATTTTAAAATGTATTATGAAGTCTAGAAGTTTCCCAGACTATCTCTATGAACTATTAGACAAAATATACAAAATATATACTACAATATACACAGAAATAATTGACCATTTCTCTACAGTATTCTGAGGTTTTTTAAACTTTTTTGTACAAATTATATTCATATGTTGTAGAGGGCAAAATGGAAACCACTGGATAAAAGAAGTTACTACCACACCACATTCACATGTTGGTATATATCCTTCCAGATATACTGTTCTATTTCTAGAACTCTAGAATAATATCATCAAATACTTATTCTTGTTCCTCCCTTCTACCTGCCCCTGCCATGTACAAGCCTATATTCTGGGCTCAGTAGGTGATGAATACGACTACTAATCCTGACTGTAAGGGAAGCGTTTGAAAGTTCAGCCATCACCACCACCCCACACACACCACAATCCATTTACAACACTTAGTTCATGTTAACCTTAACAACAAAAATTAATAATACTTAAAATGCAACTGGGGCAAACATAAAGTTCAAAAGAACCTAAAATCTTACAAACCAAACTCATGAAGGGAAAGTTAATCAGTTAGTGATAGTTCTGGAAAGCCTTCTTCAAACATCCCCAGTGTAGATAAGTATTGGTTTACAAATCATCAACCACTACATTTTTAGGCAAGTGTTACTGAAAATGAACATAAATCAGAATTTAAAGCACAACCTCCTTAACTGTCAAACACAGCCCAGTTTACAAAAATAACATGTATACATACAGTTTATGAGAAAACCCAGCTCTCCTGAATTAGGCAATAAGGTTCTGTAAAATGTGAAACAAATTTAAAAAAGAAAAAGATGGGCTAGGCACAGTGGCCTACGCCTATAATCCCAACACTCTGGGAGGCCGAGGCAAGTGGATCCCCTGAGCTACGGAGTTCAAAACCAGCCTAAAAGAGTGAGATGCCACAGTCTCACAGTGAGAAGAACTAGCCAGGCGTTTTGGCAGGCACCTGTAGTCCCAGCTACTAGGGAGGCTGAGGCAGGAGGATTGCTCAAACTGAAGAGTTTGAGGTTGCTAGGAGCTAGGAGGCCATGACACTCTAGCCTGGGGCAACAGTGAACCACTGTCAGAAAGAAAGGAAAGAAAGAAAGAAAAGGCCAGCCCCATATGCAGAAGGTGGCAGGTTCAAACCCAGCCCCAGCCAAAAACTGCAAAGAAAAAAAAGAAAGATAAAGACACATTTAAAGCCTAAGAAAGCTAATGGTTTTTAAGAACGTGATGAAGTCCAGTAGTGAAGCTAACAAGAGGGAAATACAAAATGGGACGGTGACCAAAAGGCAGGCAGCAGCTCTACAATGGTGAAGACAGATTTGAAATTAAAATGACTTTGGAAACATGCACAATTTTCAGAAAGCGCTCAGCCAGTGTGCTCCAGGGAGTTACACACAGCCTTCTTAAGTGGCCTCACTAAATACTGTCAACTTTCTTTCACAGGACACGTTCGAAGGGAATTTAGAGTTTCGCGACGTCTCTTTCTTCTATCCGTGTCGCCCAGATGTGTTCATCCTCCATGGTTTATCCCTCAGTATTGAGAAAGGGAAAACAGTAGCATTCGTTGGGAGCAGCGGCTGTGGGAAGAGCACTTCTGTTCAACTTCTGCAGAGATTTTATGACCCCGTGAAAGGACAAGTGGTAAGGAGGAATTTAAGCACACTTAAGCCGGGGGTTAGTGGTTCTTTTCCTAAACATTCCCTCAAGCTTAATCATTCCCACTGGTTTGGTTAGGGCAAACAATGCACGAGTTAAAGAGAAACAAATCTCTATCTCCACCCTTAACTAAGAGGACAAGTAAACCAGTTAAAAAAAAAAAATTAGAACTTTGAAGTTAAATACAAAGACCCAAAGATTCTTCAGCCATTCCAGCAGCAGGAATTTTGATTTTATAAGCCATGGAATCCTTACAGAATATGAGTAAATAGAGGTCAGATCCAATGTCCACATCACAGCTCTTTATTCTGTTCTGGTTTTAGACAGAAATTAGTTTCCTGTGCTCATTGGTTCACCTTTCTGCTGTTCCCAATGGCCATCCCCACCTCCCAGTTGTCAAAATCTTACGCATGATCAAGACTTCCTTGAGTCAGCTTCTTTAAGCTGTGTGTCCAAGCTCTAAAAAGATGTAACCTCTTCATCCTTTGTACCTAAGGATTATTTTCCCTAACTGGCACTTGTCTTAGTCTGGTTTTGCGTTGTTCTCTTGTCCGTGCCACAACCACATCACACACACCCACAAAAAGCTTCCACACCTCCCTTCCCTCCACTTACAAAAAACCTTAAGCCGCTAAAAGTCAGACTATCATGTTAGTCCTCATTCTCCTGCAAGGTACCGTCTCTTCCCCATTACAGATTCTCAAGGAATATTTGCAAAATTGAAGTGTCCAAAATGGCTCCCTTGAACTAGGTAACACTTATGTTTTTGTACACGCCCTCCCTCAAATCATCCAAAGGCTTCCCACGGCAGTTCAAATAAACCACAGTCCATGCCGTCAACCACAGTCCTTCACGAGCTGGCCCCTGCCTCTCTCCAGACTCCTGTCATATCGCTCACCAGATCATCGTACGCTGTGTCAATGTCTCTGGCTTCCTTATGCTCTTTAAACACACCTGTGAACCTTCATTCTGCTATTCCCCTGCCTGGACTAGAATAACCTTCTACTCTAACTTCCTTACGGATTCCCTCTCATCATCCACATCAAGGTCTGAAGGTCCCCTCCTAAGCCTTCTTAGCCAGCCCCTTCTCACCTCTCTCCACACCCTCTCCCTCCTCAGTCACTCTTACCCCATTACACCATCTTCAGGGCACCTTCTGAGTTTATTGAGTTTCTTGTTAGTATGTTCCTTGCCTGCCTCCCTCCACTAGAACACGAGCCACAGGAGGGGGAGAGCTTTCTCCTTTTTACCACTGTTTCCCCAGTGCCTCTCAGGAGTCCGCATCATGTAGCAGCCACGCTCATCAAATACCAGTTAACACTGCTATAAGGCTACGTGCATAAACACGGCTGTGTGCAAGTGACATGCAGGTGGACGACTGCTCCGTCTACACCTGCTCTCTCGCTGGACTTCAACAAAGTAGGGCCCTGTTACAGCAGTGGGGGGCAGTTTGTCATTTTTCACGTGACATCAGTATAGAGCAACCAGGGTTTACTCCAGACTCCAGGCAGGACTCTGGACTATTCTTAGCAACGTCAGGTAACCTTAGGAGTCCGCATTTTAGTGAGTTACACACTGTTTGCTTCTATTCAACATATGATTTATGGGCCTTCCTTGGGTAACATTATACTTTGAAATAGCTTGAATTCCTAACCTTCATGTTATGATTTGTATACGTCTGAATACAGTGAACCGTAACTTGATACACTCGGATCTTAACACATCATTCTGCTCTTGGCAGCTATTTGATGGTATAGATGGAAAAGAATTGAATGTGCAGTGGCTCCGTTCCCAAATAGCAATCGTGTCTCAGGAGCCCGTGCTCTTCAACTGCAGCATTGCTGAGAACATCGCCTATGGTGATAACAGCCGCGCTGTGCCATTAGAGGAGATCAAAGAAGTCGCCAACGCCGCAAACATCCATTCTTTTATCGAAGGTCTCCCTGAGGTAAGAAAATATCTGAAATCTTGAATTACTAAGCTGCCAAGTAAGCCTGCAGAGTTGCTGGGCCTAAGAGGTTGTTCTCAGGTATCCCTTGGATCATACAGTGTATTTATTGCCAGTATCTAAAGTTGGACGTAAAACACAAAGTCAGATGTAGAAAGTCAAGTTCGGGATTTTCAGGTGACTACTTTTTCTAAGACAAAATACATAAATATTCACTGGATTCAAATTCATATTTTGATTCTTCTCCTCATCTACACTCTTCCCGCCCACACCACCAGGAAGCTCTCCGGACCACTATAATAGCCTCTTACTCTGGTTTCCAGTCTTGCTCTCTTACCATTCTTCTTTTTCACAGCAACCAGAGGGATCCTTTAAGAACACAAATTAGGTGCTATCCCTTCCCTTCCTAAAACTGCCTCAGACACTGATTTGCATTTAGTCTGTGTTGAAGCCCAGACTCCCCATGTGGGCCCCACTGTCTCCCCAGAGCCGGATCACTCGGCTACAGTTGTGCTGGCCTCCTTCCTATCTCATGAAAACGCCAACTTGCTCCCCATCTCGGGACATTATATCTGCTCTTTCTTCAGCCCAGACCTTCCTTCCCCTGGTTTTGTGCATAACTAGCTCCTTCACTTTTAAGCCCTTTCAAAGGTCACCAGTGCAGAGGCCTCCCCTGGCCTCCTATTTGAAAGACTCCCCCCCACGCCCATCCCCTATCACACTGTCTTCAGGGCCCTGTGCAAGATCTGAAGTGACCCTGAGTGCTTAATCACTTGCGCAGCATCTCCTCTCCCCAATAGAGTGTAAGATCCTTGCCTGTCATTTTTGTCACTTTGTTTTCCATATTGGCTGTGTGTGACAGCTGATGCAAAATCTCAGAAAAGTTAAAAATCTTGGCTAACTGTAGAGAAAGCTTTAGGATAACAGCATTGATACAGATCCAGAAACAGTGAACAGAGACAAATCATTGTAATTTTAAGTGCTTATAATGTCTGTGTTTACATGTACACACACACACAAGCATATACACTCAAAATAAAAATAGAGATACTTTTAGAGACTAATTTTTATGTGATTTTTATTTTTTAATTAAATCATAGCTGTGTACATTAATGCAATCATGGGGTACAGTGTGCTGGTTTTATATATAATTTGAAATATTTTCATCAAACTGGTTAGCATAGCCTTCACAGCATTTTCTTAGTTATTGTGTTAAGACATTTATACTCTACATTTAGTAAATTTCATATGTACACTTGTAAGATGCACAGTAGGTGTGGTCCCACCAATTACCCTCTCTCCACCCATCCTCCCCCCCCTTTCCCCATATTCTTGGGCTATAATTGGGTTATAGCTTTCATATGAAAGCTATAAATTAGTTCCATAGTAGGGCTGAGTACATTGGATACTTTTTCTTCCATTCCTGAGATATTTTGCTAAGAGGAGTATGTTCCAGCTCAATCCATGTAAGCACGAAAGAGGTAAAGTCTCCATCTTTCTTTAAGGCTGCATAATATTCCATGGTGTACATACACCACAATTTATTAATCCATTTGTTGGTCGATGGGCAATTGGGCTTCTTCCATGACTTAGCAATTATGACTTGGGCTGCAGTGAACATTCTGGTACAAATATCTTTGTTATAATGTGATTTTTGGTCCTCTGGATATATACCTAGTAGAGGAATTGTAGGATTGAATGACAGGTCTATTTTTAGATCCCTAAATGTTCTCCAAACATCTTTCCAAAAGGAACGTATTAGTTTGCATTCCCAGCAGCAGTGTAGAAGTGTTCCCTTTTCTCCTCATCCACGCCAACATCTCAGGTTTTGGGATTTTGTGATGTGGGCTAATCTTACTGGAGTTAGATGATATCTCAAAGTAGTTTTGATTTGCATTTCTCTGATGACTAATGATGATGAGCATTTTTTTATATGTCTGCAGGCCATGCGCCTGTCTTCTTCAGAGAAGTGTCTCTTCAAGTCCCTTGCCCACCCTGAGATGGGATCACTTGTTCTTTTCTTGCTAATATGTTTGAATTCTCTGTGGATTCTGGTTATTAAACCTTTGTCGGAGATATAACCTGCAAATATGTTCTCCCATTCTGAGGACTGTCTTCTTGCCTTACTTACTGTGTTCTTGGCTGTGCAGAAGCTTTTTAGTTTAATTGGGTCCCAATAGTGTATTTTTTATGTTGCTTCAATTGCCCAGGGGGTCCTCCTCATAAAATATTCACCCAGGCCGATTTTTCCAAGTGTCTTCCCTGCACTTTCTTCTAGTATTTATATAGTTTCATGTCTTAAGTTTAAATTTTTTTTTTTTTTT